AACACAATGATGATAGTCTTGGACCTGATGTAATTGCCAGTGCAGTAGTAAGGATGAATGGGAGGGTGTTGGCACCTGGGGAAGAAGTTGATATCCTTGGGTGAAATACGACTCCAAACTGACCATGAAGAACCATGTTGTAAATCTTGCAAAACAAGGCAGCCAGGAAGCTTACAGCACTTTGCCATATCTCACATCTGTTTGACAGTAGGGGTTGCAAGATTCTGTATGAGGCAAACAAGTATGCTCACACCTTGAGTGTGCTCCACTTTCTTGGTTTGCCTGCCCCCCTTCCTCTCATCTGCGATTGTTTGACAGTAGAGAACAGAACAAGACGTCTCATCTCTCGCCTGGACCAATCCTGGGTAGATCTGTCATTTCAGCAAATCCTTCAACACAGGAGGGATGTGGGTGGCCTTACTGTTACGTACAAGGCCAATATTGTCAAAGTACCACACTTGGATCTACTTCGAGGAGAGTGTGAAGCAAGCTTCTATTACCACAAGATGGGCAGAAAGCAGCAAACTTCACTCTGGCTGTACCCTTCTCCAGAATATCACTCCATCTGAGATCATATATACCCAGGATGACTCAAGTATGGAACACATTTGTACAGCATTATGATGTCAATGAGATAAAGTCAGTTGATCAAATGAAAATGCTGGTCCACAGATGGCTCCAACTTCATCCTGTTCCCTACTTGTACGTTTCATAACACTAAAAAAAGGTTTTAAATGAGCTGATGTAGGTAACAGCTTTTAGCTTGTCAATAAAGCTAGGGATCCTTAACCTGTAAATGCTTGTCAACAAAGCTAGGGATTCTTAACCTGTAAATAGCTTGTCAATAAAGCTAGGGATCCTTATTTTGTATTTTCGAATTGAATCGAGGACGACGAGAGCTGTCGTAAGATGGGAAGGAAGAAGGATAAGGAAGGATGGAAATAACTGGAAAAGGATGGTGAGGAGGGGAAGAGGAGGAATCAAGGCAAGTGGCCTTGTCAAACCCCGTATAAAAAAAAAAAAGACAGAGAGAGAGAGAAGAGAGAGAGACAAGGGAGGAAGGAAGAAAGGTCACTGGGTTCTACCTAGCATGGGCCAGTAAGTCTACTGCAGTACTCTCACACATACATACCATAAGGATAGGAGAATGGTCTGATCCATTGATGACTTTCCCAGCAGCTAGAGAGGTTGCATCTCTCTCCCACAACCATTTTGTGACTGCCACATCATCAGTGACTTTGAACCATCTACTTCCCCAACAGACACTGGCAGGACCACACTAAAGTCGCCACCAGCATTGGCCTTCGGGGGGGACATTTTTATCTGTAAAATGAATACAGGGTATTGTTAATCAATGTAGTAACTGTCTTTTCCTGTTAATATTTCAGGAAAAGTACAAGATATATATCAATTATAAAAAGTGGTATACAGTAATTAATTTCCTTAAAAGATATCAATGGTGTTAAATTTCCCTATTAACAAGTTACTGTATTGCACAAAATGTGAATATACTATTACTAACCTTGTATTACTGTAACTGTGACATTATCAGTAGTATTCTTAGTGGGGTCTCCCATTCCATGCTGTCAGTTTTAAATGTTCTTTCCTTTGGTTAGTCCTGAAATATTCACTTTTACCTCATCTGTCTTAAGAAATGTGCAGTATTTGGACCACTGAAATATTTACCAACATGATGTTAATAACTTCATCTATATTATGACAAAAAAATTGTTTTACTAAAAAATAATTTATTAGTGTATACAGGAAGATCTCAATTTGCATGTGAGTTCATTTCCCGGAAAACATACAAACTGAATCCCCCCCATATTAAATTTCAAGTTACTGCAGTACTGTACAGAATATAGTAAAATAGAAGTTGTAAGTAAGGGAGATGAGAATGCACATTGATGGGGGATAAGTTATGGAAAAGTGGGTTTCAGGAACATTAGTTAATGGTTGTTGCTGAAGAGGTGGTGAGAGACACATTCTGAGGGCAAGAGTAACATGACTGATTTACTGGACTCTCCAAAAACAGTATTTCCTTTACCCTCCTCTCCTGTTTTCATTTCTACTCTCTCTTTAAGTACCCTTTTAAATTTTTCTTTGATAATCATATCAACTCTGCCTAAATACCTCTCTCTCTACTGGCTTTTTTTTTAAAACCCTTTCAGGGTTTTCGGCCGTACTAGTATGGCTTACGCACCAGGGTTTTTGACGTATAGTACGCTAATTCTAGCGCCCCCAAATTAGTGGAGAAAGTGGTAGGCCCACATATGAAAAAATGGGATATGGGTCGTGTGCGCAATATAAAAAAAATCCTGCAGCACACAGTGTGTAATGAGAAAAAAAACTTTGACGTGTTTTTTGGGTTTAAAAAAAAGCGACTTTTCACGTATTTTCATATGGTATTTTTTGTTGTATTCTAGTTTCCCGGGCTATTTTATAGAAAGGAAAAAAATTACAGAAAATGAGATGATTTGACTGGGTTTTTCAAAAAAAACTACCCTTTAAATTGCATCAAAATAGCGAAATGTTTGATTTTTACCAAAGTTCAAAAATAAACAAAATGCTATGCGTCCAATAAAAAGTCAACAGGTCAGTCTAATATTTTTCACAAATGCGCTGATAATATTTATACCTTTCTACACCCAATGCAGTAGTTTCACAACAGAAATCTTTTTTTTTGTGGAAAAAAATTCAAAGTGGAAAGCAAAAGAATATAAGAGGGGGATGGGGATTGACTAAGAACAGAGGAAATGTTATTTTTGTGCAGGAATGTCTTTCTTGTTTTTCTGGCCTATTCGAAAATTGTCTCTTTGAAATTTGTGTGAAATTGGCAAAATTGCTAAATTCTGCCCCTGCACTGGATAGTTGAAATCGGAAATGGGTAGTTTCTTGTTTTCGAAGAAAAATTTAAAAAAATTTAGTGAATAGTTATGTTTTGTCGACAAGTACACGGAATTGGGGGGAAATGGGGTCAAAGTGGGCAAATCGCCTTTTGTAAACACGTTGAGACCCCGCTAATTCCCGGAGATAATTCGTAATTTTTCCATAAAAAATTTCATACTTTGGTGCTTTATGATCGGGAAAAAGATTCTCTTTCTTTTCAAAAGAAAAAAATTTTTTTTTTTTTTTTTTTTAAATTTGGCCGCCCCTGGAAAAAGTTTGGAGGGCCTGTGCCCCTAAAAGGGTTTTAAAGATGAGCTTTCTCAGTCTTTTGTTCTATCTAGGCTGGAAAATTGCTACACCAAAAAGACCTTTCAAGGCAGGGGAAATTGCGACCCAGAAAATGTACAGAGACCTTTATGGGCCCCAAATGCATAAAACACCAAATTACTGGGAACACTTGAAATTCCAACCTGTACTCCCTTTAAGAGCAGGGAGATAATGTTTTTTTACAAATGGAAAATCCCAGGGGAGTAGACTAAGCTTTCCTGTAAAATCCTTATGAAAGCAAAACACTGGCAGATGAGGGGAAAATCCCCACAATGAAAAACAGGGTGCCCCTGCACGTAATACACAAACAATAAGTGTCAAGGTCCCCAAGACTGTTCAGCGCCTTCCCCATAATAAGGGAAAAAACCCAAAAGACCCTAGATGTCTTAAGAAGGCATGGCAGGGACTAAGCAGTGCCTGACCAGTGGGCCCCCCCTTTGGTGCTATGTAGGGTTTATGTGGCAAACAGTAACAGCCTGGTTGATCAGGCCCCGATCCACCTGAGGGCCCGGGTCCCGACGGGTCACAGGGGATTGACCCAAAACCCTTTCCCGGTTACTCCGGTTTTTTTCTTGTCTTTTTTTTGAATGCAATCAACATGGATTTTTGGTCCCCCCTGTTATTCCGCTTTACAGCACCCACCCTTCCATCTGCCTCCTCCAAACCCAATCCATTCATGTTATTTTCATAAATAATTTTTTCATAATGATTACTCCCAAGAAAATTTTGTAATATTAATTATTAAAATGGAGCCAAAATTTCACTCTGAAGGAAGGGTGGGCATGTTACAATTTAGAGAGTCATTTGAACTTTGATGCTCATGGACTTTGGGCAAATAGCTATAGAAAGAACGATGGTGAATATATTTTCTTTAACACACCAGTCGTCTTCCACTGAGGCAGGGGTGACCTGAAAAAGAAACAAAGTTTTTCCTTCTTCCTTGCTTTTAGGTCACCCTAACTGGTGAGAGATGTCCAGTGTAGTAAAATCCTTTTTAGTATTTAATATGTAAAGCAGATCCCCGGATAACGTAATTAATCTGTTCCAGATAGAGTGTCTTATACCAAATCTGAGTTAATCGAATTAATTTTCCCCATAAGAAATAACGGAAATCTAAATCAGTTTCAGACACCCAAAAGTATTAAAAAATGTTTTCTACATAAAATATACATTTAACCTACACAGAAAAACAATGATACATGAAGAATAAAACAATAATAACATCACACTTACTTCACTTAAGACATGGTGATATATGGAAGACGGGAGAGGATGGAGGAGTTTATAATTGTTTGGAAGGGAAATCCACTCCATAAAGACTTCAGGTACCGAGTCCTTATCCTGGGTTACTTCCCTCCTTTGTTTTTTAATGCCACTAGGACCAGCTTGAGAGCCACTGGACCCCTGTCGCTCAAAAAATTTTTCGAGAGAGGTCTGTTTCTGGCGTATGTTAGGAATTGTTTTGGGAGACACAAGATAGTCCTTCAATAGGACACAAATATCAGCTCTTCGGCTTATTTATCTAGCACAATTCATCTAATTAGACATAATAAACAATATTAATAAATGAAATATGACATACTCTAGAATGAATAAAATACGTCATTAAGTTGCCAAGAGTGTTGCTGTTTTTGATTTTGGGTGTAGAAGGGCCACTGAGACATAAGCCATACATGGTGGTGGAGGCGGCGTAGTGGGTAGAGACTAGAGACGGTGGTGTTGTCAGTTGCCCTATGTAACTCCAACAACATTGGAAGAGTTAGGTTTGTGCTTGCCTTTTTCTATCAATTAATTGCTTAACTTACTTGCTATAGTTAATACTACACTTTATCACTGGCTGTTTCTATAGCCTTTATAGACTCCTGATGCTTTAGTATCGTGCATATTGCAGAATCACTGAAAAAGGCACCTTCTCCCCTCTCTCTCAGCCCTTTACCAAAGGGTTGGCTGGCACTAGAAGCTTTCTTTGGGCCTTTGGTGGCTTATTTAGCAGTTACAAGCACTAAAAAGAATGGAATAATACAAAATGTCTCGTATGAACGCATGGGATCATCCTCACTGGCTGGTAAACAATGGCACACTAGGCAGCTCAGGCCATGACACGAATGACTTATACCGAGTTCAATGATGTTCACCGAGCCAATATTTTGACGCAAAAACGTTACTTATTCCGATGACGTCTTAATCCAGGGGTCCACTATATTTTTTAACTTTTTGTAAAAATACATGTAATAATTTTTAGTTATTGTTATTTTGGTACAGCCTCTCCCCATTTAGTGATGTACTCATTTACTGACCACTTGGGCTTATGACCAGCTCTCCAACCAGCGCTGATCTTCTCTATTCTGTTTATTACAGTATACTACTGTATACACATTTAAAAATATACCAGAAATGTTATAAAACTTGCAAAGGTGACATTAAAAACATATCTAAAATTGGTTAACACAAACCCACTACCAGTATAGTATGCTCCTTGCTTAACGACCAGTTCGCTTGCCAACCTCCTCTTAGGAATGGAACCCCCGTCATTAAGTGAGGAGAGGCTGTATTATTATTATTATTATATGAATTACCTTTACATACATATTTATTTAATCATCTTTGTTTCTACTAAGCCACATAAATTCTTATCACATACAATATACTGACAATTCTCATCACACACTATATATTCCTGGGTCAAATTATCTTAAAAGTTCACACACATTTATGAAGGTGAAGTTTAACTGCACAACCTGCCTCCCTTAGTCACCCTTTATAGTGTTCATTAACTACATGATGTATTCCTATTCTTAATCCATGGGTTATCAATAAGGTTTCTACAACTAGGAAGAGAATAGTATAAGCCAGAAAATAATAATAATTCAAAGACTCGTATGATGTTTTACTCACTGTGGGACTAATAATAATAATAATACAAATACTCCTCACTTAATGACCTACTTGTTTAATGACCGCTCAGATTTATGACCAGCTCTCTGACTGGTGTACTCAAGTGTATTTTACTTTTTTATTTTTTTTTAATGCTAAGTTCTAATTTTAATATATAAAAAATGTTATAAATGGTGCAAAGGTGACATTACAACAATATCTCAAGATGGTTGACACAAACCCACTACCAGTATACAGCTAGCCCTCCACTTTTGTGAGTTCCATTTTTGTGAGCTTTGAAAATTCACGAATGCCCAGCCGTCCAATCATATTTACCAAACAAATGCAGGAAAAAAGTACGGGAAAACACTTTCTGCCATGTCCCTACTACCCTCCCTCTTACCCCCTCAGCCGGCAGCTCGCCACTCACTCAGTCATTGTCCAGTTACTGTTCATGTTGGTCGTGTCCAGTTACTGTTCATGTCCTACTGTACACATGTGTTTGTGTGGTGGTGCAAGTATGGCCCCCAAGCAAGCAGCAACCACTACTGATGAGCCAACCCCTAAGTGCACAAAGAAAGTCATGAATCTGGAGGAGAAGGTGAAATTGCTAGACAAGTGTAGGGCAGATTATTCAAGCAATTCTGCCATTGGAAAATTATTTAATGTAAACAAAAGCACGTGCACTCTATCAAGAAAAATGAGGCAAAGATAAGGGTGGCACTAGCATCTACAGCTCCTCCCTCAGCCAAGCAGGTGTCACAAAACCCAGGGCAAGCGATGAGAATGACAGCACAGCTCAAACAATTTTTGTACGACATAGATCCATCGATGCTGAGGGCTTTGAAGGTGATGAGCGACACTGATAGGAGCATAATTCCCTACAAAACTTTGTTTGTAGATATGAAGAGGAAACAATCTCAGTTGCCCATCACAATGTTCTTCACAAGGAAGCTGCCACTACCCTGCTGCTACCCCTACTGCCTCACCTGAACCTCACCCGTCGCAGAATCTGACTCCTTTGTTAACTCTGACTCTAGCGATGTCCGTAGTGATGCTGGCATTTGAAGAGTTAGAACCCATACACTAGACTCACCTTGTCATGCAGTTACAAATCCATATAAACACCTCCATCAACTGTCATCAGTAGCTGCATGGCTGACTATCATTCCCTTTATTATCGTCATTGTCATCATCATCACAAGTGTCAGAGTTCATTTTGCCTAAAACCCTTACGATTTGTGAGTGTTTGTTCATTGTTATTAAACCATAACATTTACTGTAATATACAATATTTTACGATGTTTTCACGTGCTTTAGATTGTTTGTGGGTCAACAAGTTAAGGAAGCAGTATTATCAGGCTAAGTAAATGCTATTATTATATTTCCCTACAATATATTTGCGCATTCAAATCATTTGCGAACGCTACAGTACAGTATTATATTTCCCTACATCATATTTGCGCACCAAACATTGGTGAATTTTCAATTTCGCAAGGTTCTTGATTCCCTAACCCTTGCGAATGTGGGGGCCCCTGTAGTATGCTTCTCGCTTAATGACCAATTTGCTTCCTGACATACTCTTAGAAAACGGAACTCAGTCATTAAGTGGGAGTACTGTAATAGTTTTAAAACTCCACTATGAATTAAACATTGTATAATAAACATTTTTTCCCTGTTTAATATGTTTTTGAGTTACCATTTGTAAGTTTGATGACATACCTGATCTGTTTCCAAAGCCAGTGAGTTGTCATAGTATTATCTGTATGTGGGTTCCATCAAGCATTACTGTTGTGTTAGGCAGCACAATCTGAATGTCTTCTCCAGCATTTGCTAAAAATGTCATACATTATCTATACAGTATGGCCATGCATCAAAATTTTGTGCATATTAGTTTATTTTCTTCTGGTATTTATTTAATGAAAAGTATTCTTAAAATAAAGATATTTAGTATAATGAAATATTTAATATTATAAAGACTAATTCAAACAAAAACACGTTTTTAATAAATATAATGTTACCACACAATCAATTATAGAATGTTTAGTAACCAGCTTCAAATTCTATTATTAATATTAACCTTAAAGATAAGATGAGCACAAGATACCCCACAGAATTAGCTAACATACCTTTTGGTGCAGCAAGGTTTGGCTTTTGTACATAAACATAGACTGAAGTATTAGAAGACTGGCCAATGCTATCAGCTACACGAAGTATAAACTGATAGTGACCTTCCTCCAAATTACTTAGATGCAAAAATGGGGTTCTCGTGTCCTGAAGTAAAATGATTTCAAATAGTCAAAGTACAAAATCTTTACAAACTGCATCATCTAACATAAGAAAATACAGTAGGACCTCATATCTGCAGGGGATTACAGTCCAAGGACGAAAACCGTGGATAGCAGCAAACTCTATATGTAAGTCCTATAAATACCTATTATAAGGTTGATAAATTATGCACAATAAGTGGAGAATTATCACTTTTTTACTGATGGGAGGCACTTCATGGCTTCTCTTAGGCTTTGAAGAACTGCCAGCTTCTCTACTTTTTGGGCCATTATTATGCAAAATTAATAGGTAATTTTTGGGCCACAGTAAACCATGAATAACTGAAATCGTGGATACCGAAATAATGGATACAGGGGTTCTACTGTATGCCTACAATTCTCAAAACATCAGAAGATGGGATTCTATAAGAGCTGATTATATCAATTTTATGTGAAAATGATTAAAGAAAAATTACATCAATCATTTCTTACACTTAACTAATATTTTTTAATGCAGCAATATTCCCATAATTCATTATGATGTCATCATCACATGGCAATTTCTGAATTAACAAGAGTAATATTGATACAGATCTTTCATATTTTTAACTTTTATTATCATGCAACCTAATCAAGAGTTCATTACCTTTGTAAATTATGAGTTCATTACCTCTGTAACTTGCTCAGCTATCAAAACTTTGGGGTCCAGTCCCTGGACCAATTATGTACCTCTGTAATCTTTTTATACTGTCACAGGATGGGTATGGGGTGCTAATTAAAAAATATTA